CCTGCTGAAAATCGGCCCCATCAGCATCTGTGAAGGGCCTCGAAAGGAATGACTGAGCAGGCCCCCCCGCTGTGTGCTCCGAGCAGGCGTCCTCACTGCGTGGCTCTGGAACCCAGTGCGGGGTGGGCTGTGGCTATCCCCGGGTCTGGCTGGGTGAGCCAGGTGGTCCCTCCTCGCCCCTGCCCTGCCTGTCTGTGATAACCACATGGAAGCTGTAGCATCTCTAGGGCCCTCCCGCCGACGCTCAGCTGAGGCAGGCAGGTCTGGCTGGCCGCGTCTGTCTGAATGCCCACACTCCTGACCCGGCAGCCATGGGCCACACCTGAACCTTGTGGTGGGCGCCAGCTGGCCACCAAGAGCGCCTGTGCCCTGAGGACAGCTGCGGTCCGAGAGGCCTGCTGAGTCAGCCGGAGTCCTCTGGGGTTCGCTGGGTTTTACGCAGTTGCTGGTGCCGACCCCCTGGACTCCCCGACGGAGTCTCACAGAATGAGGAAGGGGCGGGCTGAGTAGTGGCCGGTCGCCAGGAGTGTCCAGGCAAGCTGGACTCTAATAGGTCACAGAGGAGCACAGAGGTGACCAGAAAGGCTATCAGGTCAGGCCAGGTCCAGGCCACAGGAAGGAGACAATGGGGCCAAGGAGAAGCACAAGGTGACCTGGGGCTGTGGCCAGTGACTGTGGCTGTCTGAAACACAGGAAGGACCAGGTGGCCCCGCCGCATTTAAAAAGCAAGCACCCCAGGACCAGCAGATAGCATAATGGCTATGTCACTGGATTCCCATGTAGTCGACCGTGGTTTGAGTCAGACCCGGTGGCTTAAACTCATGCTGGGCGCGTGTGCATGTGTGCCCAAGATCCCGAGAGAAGAATGGAGGAGAAGGGATTGCGGTGTGGCCATCCCCCCTCAGAGGTGATTTCTCACTTTCTGTCTCTCTGTCTCTCTCTGCCTTTCTAGCGAGCACTCATATCCTATAGCAAAAAAAAAAATATCTCCAAAAATAAAAAATAAAAAGCAAGCACCGAAGGCCAGCAGGTGGCATGGTGATTAAAGCACTGGACTCCCATATGGCTGACCAAGGTTCGAGTCCCAGACCTGGCAGCTTGAAAATCATGCTGGACACATGTGCATGCGTGCCCAAAATGCCAGGGAAAGAACAAAAAAGAATGGATTGTGGCGTAACCATTCCCCATGGGAGGAGATTTCTCACTTTCCTTCTTTCTGTGCCTCTCTGGCAAGTACATGTGCCCTATAGCAAAAAAATAAATAAGAGAGAGAGAGAGAGGAGAAAGAGAGAGAGAGGAGAGAGAGAGAGAGAGAGAGAGAGAGAAATCACCCCACAGAGGCACCGGTTTTGTAAATACCACACCCCCCTGGCAGCAATGGGAAATAAGCTTGAGCGTGCACCATGCACACATCCCGGGCGTTCGACTTCTACGCCCAGGACGAGCTCCCAGCGCCGTACAAGTTACTGACAGCAAAACCACAACACGTTCGTTTGTGTAGATGTGAACAGTTCCAAAGATGGGCTGCTCTGTGAGGGTGGAAATAACACAAATTATCCTGTGAAACGTCATTTCCCGAACCACGTCCCAATCCTTACACCCAGCCTATTAATTCAGCACCAAAAAATAAGTAAAAAGAAAAACCAGGGAATCTGCATCACCCCCAGAGCACCACCACAGCAGGAGGAAACGCTGCCTAGCCGACATCGGCGCTATCTCATCGCCTGTGGTGACGTGTGTTCTGTCTTCTCTCGGATCTCGTAAATTCACAGCGCACGTCTGCAGAAGAGGCGGTGCCGAGAGACGGCCGGAGGGGCCCAGTCGGCCGCAGGGGTGAGTGTCGAGGCTCACACGGGGACGGGGGATGGCAGGCCGCCTCTGCCCAGAGCCCAGCACGAGAAACACCTGGTCTCAGAACAAGTGTCCTCCTGCGTGAGACGCACTGCAAGTCCTCTTGGCCACGTCCCACCGGTGGCCACAAGGACAGAGTGCCTGCTGTGACCCGGAGGGGCACGTGGGTCCGTGTAAGAGCAAAACTGTCCCAGCGCCCGACGTAGCGGTGACTAAGACGCCAGTGTGGCGAAAGCCGACTCACCACTGCTGGGGACAGCCTGCTGCGGACTCCGCGACTTGCCGCCTTGTTGAACTCTGGTCGGCTTCTCTGAACTCGCGTCTTCTTTCTTCCCTTTCCTTTTCGGGGGCTGAGGGGACGAGTTGTCGCTGGACCCGATCGTCGACTTCGACTGGCGGTCATTTCCCTGGAAGGTGAAAGGTCAGACCCGGGTGTCAGCGACGGCTCCTAGCCAGGGTCGCAGTACACGCGTCACTAACCGGCGAGGACCGGGGCGGGCAGGCGATGCCCACACCGGGTCTGCGACACCCACGCCAGCGCCAGCACCCACTCCCTCCCGGGGGCAGAGGGAGGGTCTAGCAGAGGGAGCAGGAGAATAAGGGAAAAACCGGTGGCATGAAAGCGTCTCACTCGGTCCCCAGGCAGCCTTGAGCTCACCCCACTTAGCTGAGGACGAGAGGCCCTAGCTAAGCCTCCCAAATGCCCACGGTCAGCAAGGAGCAGGGCGGCCACCCACCACGATGGCAGGTCCTCAACAGTCCTCTCCCGCTGCCGTCCTGAAGAACCAGGGGGCGCTACGAGAAAGGGGGACACAGACGGTCCCCAGCTTGGTCGGCTGGCCTGGAAATGCCCCGTGTGGAGGGTGTGGCTGCAGGGCCTGCTGAGTCCCAGGTTGCTCTGTCCACGCACCCTCACCCTCTCCGCTCTGACCACTGTGTTGTGACACACCAGAAACATGAGTCACACAAACTCCATCTCTTTCTACACCCGGTCGTGGGTCTCTGCAGGAAGGCACAGGGGATCGTGACATGGGTCAGTGACCGGGGAGCGAGCTGGCTGCAGAAGCCAAGTCGGCCCCCGCCGCCCCTCACGCTCTGTGCCTTCCGACTGCTGCCATGGGCCACACGGAGCGCTGGCCAGGTGCCGGCCCCTCACCTAACCCTGTTCTTTATTAACTGCCGCGACCCAGGCACCCTGTGACAGCCCACAGGGCAGCCCGGGGAAGCCTCATGCACCATGCCTGCCCCATGCCCTGGGAAGCCCAGCGCTAACTCCTTGCCACGAGCCCTGAGTCCAGAGCAACGACACAGGCCTCGGTCAGGACCGCATGCCCCCACGGCTGCCAGAAGCTGCCCAGGGCTGGCCCCACCCCGCAGCCTATCCCTGCCCCCTCCAGCTCATGGGTGTCCACACCGCAGCCTCTACAGTGGGGCCAGCTCCTGGCCACCCTTCCAGCAAGGCAGGTCCCAGCAAGGCAGCCCCTGCTCTCGGGAGCCTGGTGCCCACCTGACCCACGTGCTCGGGGTGTGAGGCTGCAGGAGGCAGAGCATGCATGTCTCAGAGACCCCAACTCCCGGCTGGGAGCTGCTATTCCGCCCCGCCCGGCCATGGGGCCACGACCAAGCCCTGACTCCCATGGGCCCGAGTCTCCTCGGTCAAGGGGCATCTCTGAGGATCCTGAGCAGGAAGTGGGAGTTCTCAAACTCCCGGAGCGGTGCCTGGCTCAGTGAGAATCAGGGTGCTTCCCCGAGAGCGGAAGTTAGTGGCGTTTTCTCAAACACCAAACCATGTCGGGTGCAGCGCAACGCACCATCGCCACAGCCTGTACCCTGCTAGTGTCTGAAAACACGCAGGAGCATTCGGTAAACAAATCCGCCCGAAACCTATCTCGCGGCTCACTTTAAACGTCTACAGACTCAGTCATCCGGAAGCATTTAAATGGTTTTAGTCATCACCCAATTAAGAGGAGAAAAATTCGCAGGCTTACAAATGAAGTTATTTATGCCATTTTGTCATCGCCTACAAGAAAATGAATTATGCATAGATTTATTAATGGGATGAAAACGTGTCCAAATCTATAACGCTTTTTGTGTAATTTAATTTTCTATTCCAACTGCAGTTCAAACACAGTTTCCGTTTAATGGCTGTCTTCACCGCAGCCTGGGGTTGGTTTGTTTTCCCTCTTCCTCGGTGACCCTTTCTGAACAGACAGGGAACGGTTAGAGTGGAGACTCCCAGACCAGCAGCCCAGTCTCAAGGTCCCGCCCATGCTCAACGGAGCCCACACGTACCCAGGGTTCGAACCTCTGAAGCCGTGGGCAGCAGGAGCAGCTGCCTGCCTGCAAGTAGCCACAAGCCTGCAGCGTGAGCAGGGACGTGGGGCTCGTGTGGGGACGGGAATCGCCCCGATGAGCGGGAGCCGGCACATGGCCAGGTGGGTTTCACCCCATGGGGAAGCCTTCCTCACTGAAGGGCTCCAACCACGAGGCACCATGACGGTGTCTGGGGACTCGCGTGACCTTCTAAGTCACTGCCCCTGTGGGTATACAGGGACCTTCTGGTTCCCTACATCTCTGATGGGGACGCTCGGGAGGATGATTTGGGAACGTCGGAAGACTGGTTGGGCCGGCATCATGGTGCGGCAGTAATGCACTGCTCAGCAGAAACCAGATCCCACATGGCGACTCCAGTTCAAATCCCCGGCCTGGCCGGCCTGTGTCAGGGCACACCTGTGCATACCCAGGACCGAGGGCGAGGGGGCTGGAGGAGGGAAGTCGAGTGACCAGACCGCATGGACGCAGTCCTCTCTTGTGTGTGCACGTGCTCAAGCGTGAATTTTTTTTTAAGAGAGATTTTTTGGTTTCAGGGCACGTGCACTCACTGGAGAGACAGGCAGAGACAGAAAGCGAGAAGTCGCCCTCAGGGGGGATGGCCACCCACAATCCCTTCTGCCCCACTCTCCTCTCAGGATCTTGGGCACGCACGTACACGCTCCCGGTGTGAGTTTCAAGTCACCAGGTCCAGGACTCGAACCACGGTCAGCCATGTGGGAGTCCAGCTACCTAACCACTACACCATCTGCTGGTCCCTAAATGCTTTTTTTTAAAAAAAAAAAAAAAGTAAAATCATCAATTTAGTTCAAGTGTTAATAGTATTAAAACGTTTAACGAGTTACACATAATACTCTACGGAGCATAAACTGCACACTGTAGGCATCGTCTGCGTGCTTTACATAAACCACACGTGATATGTAAATAAATTCCGCATCGACAGAGGGAGGGAGGGCCATCGCTCCGTGGGTCCTGCCACCCCCGCAGCCACAGCAGTGGGTAAAACAGCACCGAGCGTGTGGTAGGTGCTGCGTGGGCATCAGCACGCAACTTTCCTGAATCCACAGAGGAGCATCACAGCGCGCAGGGTAGGCTCAGCAGATGGCATAATGGTTACGTCGCTGGATTCCCACTTAGTCGACTGCAGTTCAAGTCCCAGACCTGACAGCTTGAAATTCAGCCAGGCGTGTACGCGTGCATGCCCAGAATCCCAAGAGGAGAAGGGAGGAGACGGGCTGCAGCATGGCCATCCCCCAGGGGGGTGATCTCTCACTGTCTCTGTCTCTCTCTACCTCTCCAGTGAGTGCACGCTCCCTGTAGCATATAGCAAAGATCGCTCTTCAAAACAACAGCCTCGCAAAGACTTCACGCTGTCTGCGCCAGAATAAACTCCCACGCTAATTTCATCCCAGTCGGAGTGTCCTGTTAGGGCCTTCTCACGCCCGCCTGACCCGCGCTGACGTGCCCTGATGGCCAAGGCACCAGACACGCCAGGAGGGCGCAAGTGGCCGGCCAGTCACTCCACGGAGGAGGTCGCGGCTTTATCTCACCTGGAAGGAACCGAGAGGCGGCCTGACCCTACTGTGTGCCCGACTCAGACCCGACCACTGCCCCACCACCTGCCTGCATCCGGACACCGGGAGGAGTCCAGCTGGCTCCAACCCACAAATGCCGGAAGAGCCCCTGGCCGCTCCAGGAGACGGGACTTTTTAACTGAGTTCCTAGGCTCCTTCCAGCAAGGTCCCACCAACTCGGGCTTCCTCTGTCACCCCCGTAAACAGTCCCCAGCCCCACACGCGTGTCTGAAACACGGAGTCCACGGAGCAACACGCTCCGCACCATGTCCCAGGGCCTGGCCAGCAGCTTTCCAACATGCGTCCTCAGCAGCCGTGGGACCCTGCCTCGGGCTGGCGGTGCTCCCCTGGGAGCTGGTGACAGCGAGTCCGCAGGCCTAGAGCTTGCTTCGGCATGGCTGTGCTACTTACTGCTCAACCCTGGGGTTTCAGCAGCTTTCCAACATGCGTCCTCAGCAGCCGTGGGACCCTGCCTCGGGCTGGCGGTGCTCCCCTGGGAGCTGGTGACAGCGAGTCCGCAGGCCTAGAGCTTGCTTCGGCATGGCTGTGCTACTGCTCAACCGTGGGGTTTCGTCGGAGCCTTAGGGAACGCAGCATTTGGTCCTGTGGGTTGCTGACCACAAAACGCCGCAGCCACTCGATCAGGACACCTAGGGGCTGTCCCCCCTTCCTCCTGATCCTGCCCGCTTCACGTCTCCCCGCTACAGGGTGTGCAACCCCGGGGGGCACCGCCCAGTGAGCACAGCCTCCTGTTCAGTTCAGGGGGGCCCCACGACTCACTCTCATCCTCTCCGTTTAGAAAGCTGGGACCGCAACTTGCAAAGGTTCTCAGCCGAAGGAGGGCTGAGAGGCTGGGCAGGGCAGTGGGGAGGGGCAGGGGCTGGGCCTGGCAGAAACAAAAGGACGGGCAGGCAGGTGGGGTGGCTCCAGCGTGAGATCCCGGGGTGGGTTGTTCCAGCGACCTGCTGTGACCCTCTGAGCCACCGCAGAGGGCTCTGAGTGCCGCACACGGGCGTGGACCACCCCACTGAGCCAGTGCCACTGTGCTGTGTGAGGCGGGTGCCCACACAGGCCGGGTGCGGTTCTGGAGTCGCGGACGGGTCAGCTCAGCCACTCGGCACCAGCCAGCGTCCTCCTCCTCACGGTGAACCACAAGTTCCCGAGGGCAACAGTTTGGCCAGCCCCGCGAGTGTCGCGCACAAGCGGGTGAGGAGTGCCATCCGAACACGGTGCACGTCAGCACACGACGTGGCTTTTCGGGACTCCCAGACCGGGTGACCAGTGTGTGTGCAGAGGCCACGTCACTGCCTGCAGTCATCTGTCCCACGGTCACACGGAGGGACGCTAAACCGGGGTATGCGTGCTCGCTCCTGCTGGAAGAAGGTTCCATCGCAGGGCGGGGAGACACCTCCCCCGAGAGACCCGCCAGGACAGAAAAGCGCCCGACAGCTGCCTTCGAGGATGAGTCTGCTCAGAAGTGACCTATGGACATCTGTCCCCACTGCCACAGAGGGGGATCTGAACTCGCAGACAATGAGAAAATGGCAGATGCAGTCGAGTCTGGGAGGGGACTGAGCATGTGGGTGACTCTCCACGTTTTAAAGGATATGAGGGAAGGCTGGATCTCACCACCGCACCCCTGCTCATCTTAGTCAGAGACTGAACTACGGCGCAAAGCAAGACCACCCAGACCAGGGATGTGGCCGGACACGGCGGCCCCGTGGGGTCACGTGTCACTGCACAGTGTCAGCCCTGCCATGTCAGGATGGCGCGGACCCAGGACAGTCACAGGACTCTGCCACACCCCGTCCTCCGCTCGGGCCTCCCCATGACGTGGAGTCTGGCTCAGGGTCACACGATTACACCACGTGGCAGCTACGCTTCGTCTCTTCGTAGAACTGAAACCCAAAGGACGCTCCCTCTGCACCCTGCGGCGGCCAGAGCGTGGATGGGGAGAGCTCTGGTACTTACGCTCCCTTTAGACTTCCTGGATCCTACGATGGGCGGCAACGAGGACGCTTTCTGGCTGCAGAAACAGATCGCTGGTTAGAAAGCTGCGAGTTACAGAAACACGGACTGTGAGGGCAGGCCTCCCGGCCCGCCCCTGACCTGGAGGTCCACGGGCCTGGCGTCTGGGTTTCTCCCCAGTTTCACAAAGACTACCGAAAATCCTACATTCCATTCCAAACGACTTTTTAAATGATTTAAGTTTGTTATTTTTTAAATTTGCTATAAGGCATGAGCATTCACTAGAAAGAGACTGAGAGAGAGAGGGAGAGTGAAAAGCAAGCCACCAGGTCCGGGATTCAAAAGGTGGCTGGCCGCGCCACCTGCTGGCGCCTCCAAATGGCCCGTAAGTTGTCCCACTACACCACTTCACTGATGCTTGCGGGCCCACTTCCAGTGCCGCCCTGAGCTTTCACTGTATTCGGATTCAAGTCCCCACAGTTTCCACTTGTGTTTCAAAAATTATTTCCCAACTGGAGAAAGATTTTGTCAGACTGAGCAGAAAAACAACACATTCCCCTTGTTTCACCGTTTCTTCTACTTCTGATAGAAAAGCAGGATAGGAAACTCTAACATTTGCATTCAGGGCATTTTTAAAGCAGTCGTCCTCACCAAAAAGAAAAAATAAGTAAACATTCTTTTCCACTGTAAGAGTAAGTTGTTTCCCAGATGTGTGTGTTAGAAAACCCGACCCAACCTCTCCAGAACTGGAGGGCACACGTGTGAAGGCGGCAGGGACGGCGTTAGGACTTCCGGGAGGGGGGCGGCCTGAGTCCTCGCGCTCTCTCCGCCAGCGTCGCTCACAGCACGCAGCGGGTGGGCCCAGGGCTGCTGAGCAGGGCTGTCAGAGGCTCCGTCCCGTGGACGGGTGAGGATGGTGAACAGTAAGTGCGCGGGTGAAAACCTGACGAGCTGGAACCACCCGGGTCAGACAGCACCACCGAAAGGCTGTTTTGTCCATTACTAAGTTAGAAACTCCGGGCCTGGGGCCAGCAGGTGGCATAGTGGTGAAGGTGCTAGACTCCCAAGTGGCTGACCACAGTTCGAGTCCTGGACCTGGCAGCTTAGAACTCACTCTGGGCGTGTGTGCGTGCACGCCCGAAATCCCAAAAGGAGAATGGAGGAGAAGGGATTGCGGCGTGGCCATGCCCCCTGGGGGTGATTTCTCACTTTCTGTCTGTCTCCCCAATGAGCACACACCTTCTATAGGAAAATCTCTCTCAAAATAAAGAGGCATAAGATATTCCGGCCCCTTTTCACCTTTGGAGGTTTCCATTCAAACCAACTGGCACATCACCTGGTCCGGCTTAACTGTCGCAGCACCAACATTCCAGTAACGTTCACCGTAGAGGTGTCTGTCCTCCAGCTTCTTCAAGAGTAAGTTTCTATATTTACTAGCAGTTTGGTGCATTTTTAAAATCACAGTCATACATAAATTTCCAGAAGTTACGCTCCACACACTAGCTTTCAGTCCCCCATCTTGACGAGGAAACAAAGGTCCGCGTGTCTCGTCCGCCCCTTCTAGCGGGAACTAGACAGACCGCCATGCACAGTACACGGCAGCCCGCCAGAGACCCGGGGCCATCCCGGGACGAGCTCGTGGGAGTGAGGGGACGAGGGACGGACACCCACCCGTAAGGCCTGCGCACCGCCGACCGGTCGAACAGCAGCTCGCTGTAAGGCAGCTTCTTGAACTTGTCCCGGCCGACGGCCACGTAGAACCGCCCGTTCTCCAGCTCGGTGCCGCTCTCCACGAGCTTTCCTTCTAGCGTGTAGAGTCTGGCAAAACACGGATGCCGACAGCTAGCACCGAAGCACGTAAGAGAGGGAGAGGAGGGAGAGGAGTCTCGGGGAGAGAGGGGCCTTCTCAGCTGGACTCGTCTGCTGCCGTCCCGATGGCCCCGGATAGCCCAGTGCCAGTGTCAGGGCGGAGATGTGACCGCTGCCTCGCTCTGCAGGGCCTGTCCCAGTGAGCAGGACTCGGCGTAGAGACGTCCCCTTGCAGTGCTGTGAGTGTGGGGAGATGGCGTGTCCCGGATGTGGGCCGGGGAAGCCGGGAAGCCCCACTCCCAGTGCAGGTGCAGCCCGGGGTCGCGCCTCCCTCCTCGTGTACCTGTCAGCTGCTGAGCTCCCGACTGCCACCGCATGAGGAGCACTCCCACCCCAGCACTGCATCCATACACGGGCTGCCGCGCCTTACCCACCACGCCACCTCCGGACATTCACCCACACGCGGTGGTCAGAAAGAGGTGAGAGGGCAGCGGCAGAGCAGGCGGCCCGAACACACAGCGGCCCGGCTCCCTTCTTGTCCTGCCCCTCCCAGGATCGAGGGGCTCCCAGGACCTTCACTCACGGCAAAGCCGCTGCTGCAAGCTGCAGGTAATATGGCAGGTATTAAAGACAGGGCTGGGACCAGCAGATGGCATGATGGCTACATGGCTGGACTCCCACGTAGTCGACTGCGGTTCGAGCCCCAGACCCGGCGGCTTAAAGCCACACTGGGCATATGCGTGTTTGTGCCCAAAATCCTGAGAGGAGAACGGAGAAGAAGGGATTGCAGAGTGGCCCCCCCGCCCCAGGAGGTGATTTCTTGCTTTCTGTCTCTGTCTCTCCAGCGAGTACACGCACGCTATAGCAAAAATCTCTCTCTCAAAAAATAAGACAGCACTAACTTCACTGGTGATCAAGGCACCGATGGAACTGTTCAGAAGAACGGGGAAAACAGACTCGGAAAACTCAACCAGAATGGCAGTCCGTGTCTTCGAGGCTTCTGAACAAGAGTTAGTAACTGGAAGGATTTCAAGACAATTCTGTAAAAATAGTAATTCCCAGACTTCTTATACTACAAGATAAATGGTGGCATTTTCAGGAAGAACAAAGCCCCTCCCTGGCCTGTAGGCCTGTCTCCTGATGACGCGAGGCTGCAGTGCGGGAGCAGGGTGGCACAGAGACACCTGGACCGGACAGGTCCCTGGACCGGACCTGCTTCCCGTCAGTGAACAGGTGCCACGGCCCCTGGACGACGCCTGTGCTCCCTGCCAGCCTCGGCACCCACACTCGGCACTGTCCGCTTCTCTACCCGGGCCGGGCCGAGGTCTGAAACAGCACGGCTCTGCTGCAGCCGCGGCTCTGCGCTGGGAGGCGGCCTGCGCTCCGGAGGTGCTGCCGCAGCCTGGCCTCGCCCACAACGTGCAGGAACAGCTGCCCTGTCCCCAGAGGCGACTGCAAAAAATGGCCCGGACGCTGCCGACCGTCTCTCCGGCAAAACCAGGCCTGGCTGAGAACCACGGGCTGGAGCCAGGCGGGCGTCATTCACTGCCCTTCAGAGAGTCAGTTCCGAATCGCAAGGGGACATTCTCTGCGAGATTGCGGGCCCGGCTGTGGGCTCTGGGCACAGCCACGGCTTGGCTGCCCCCCGGCAGGGAGGTGAGACATGTCTGAGTCAGCTCTAACTGGGGTTTGGCCTCTGCCGTACGGCTCGGCTTTACCGCTGTCCTCGCTGAAACACAGGGAGCACCTGGGGAGTCAGCCAGGCTGCCAGGCATCCTTCTGGCTCGTAAACAGGCCGGTGGACGGAGGGCCTGCCTAACCCCCTGGTGCTCGGCGAAGGGAAAGCGGACACGCCCAGCTAGGTCCCGTCTCGGGCACTGCGCCCAGAACGCGGGTTCTCCCACGGCCCTGCATCCCCTTGCAGGCAGCCACGTCACAGTCCTGCCTGTGCACGTGCGTGACCTCCACCTCCGTGCACGAACCGTCTGCGATGACACATGAGCAGCTGCGGCCGGGCCGTGTGTCTGCGTGTCGCCCTGTTTATTAGATGGGTTCACATTCATACGCGGGACTGCGAAATGCTCGCAGAAGCTGGAATTGAAGTACAAGCTTGTTTTGGTGCAAGAAATTTTGAATTCCATACATTTGTTTAAGAGTACACATTTTCCCATGAACTTTTTGAAGACACCCTCATCTGTCAAAAGACAAAACTATACATCTAGAAAATAAATAAATGGGGACCAGCAGTCAGCAGAATGGCTATGTCACTGGACTCGCACGTAGTCACCCATAGTTCAAGTCCCAGACCCGGTGGCTTAAACTCACGCCAGGCGCGTGTGCGTGCGTGCCCAAGATCCCAAGAGGAGAATGGAGGAGAAGAGACTGTGGCATGGCCATTCCCCCTGGGGGGTGATTTATCGCTTTCTGTCTCTCTGTCTCTGTCTTCCTGGCGAATGCACGCGCCCTATAGCAAAATACTCTCAAAAAAAAAAAAAAAAGCGAACTGGAAACACATTTAAAAGCCACGTGAGCGAGGCCCAACTGACCAACTACGTGGTGTGCCTAGAAGCCGGGAGGGTGACTGCGGGGCCGTGCCTGCGTGTCCACATGAAACCAGACACGAGCGTGTGCCTTCTGCTTAGACTGGGGTCAAGGCGCAGGCTCTGAGCCAGGCAGCCTGCTGGCCTGAGTCGTGGCTGGATTGCAGGGCCTGTGTGGCCCCTCTCTGCAACTCAATTTCACGTCTACTAGAAGAGAACACTGCTCTCCACTGGCCTCACTTCCAAGATGATGAAGGGAGGGAGGAGCAGAAAGGGCCGCGGCCATGTCAGCCCGTCCGCTGCACGGACCGCGGCCAGCACGCCTGGGGCGGGCGACTAAGTGCACCGTCTGGACATCTCCGAAACCAGCGTCCCCGATGCCGCATGCTCCCCGGCTGGGTGTGCCGTGTTACTGTGTGGGCTGAGCCATCATAGCAGGGGTCAGGGACCCATCTCGTGACGCTCGGGAGGACCGGACCCCCGCCCTGACTTACACCTGCGGGGGCCGCCCCAGCCCTCCACCAAAGCCCAGGTAAGGAGCTGCATCTGTTAGGGACGGCACAACTGCCACATGAAATGTGGACTGCACGGAGAGAGAGAGAAGGAAAGGAAGAAAGCAAGCCGGATCCAGGACTCAAACTGCAGCCAGCCATGCGGGACCCCAGAGCCCTCAGCACCATGCCACCTGCCGGCCCCGCCCTGGTATGTTACACTGACTTGTATTAAATAAATAGAACTCAAGAAAGAATGAGATACCATTCGGACCCACCCTGAGTCCAAAGACAAAACGTTCCGTAAGCTCTATACACGGAGGAGAGAGGGAAACCGGGCCCTCGTAACCTTTTGGTGAGTGCAAGTTAGCACGGGTGCTATGGAAAACGACTGGCAATTGTCTCAAAATTTAAACGCATCTGTCGCTTGACACATCAATTCAACTTGCCGATTCAGTCTCCTGATAGAGTATGCTTATGAATAAACACGGGGCGGGCGACCCTTGGAGAGCCCTGCTGTCCGTGTACGCGCATGGCACTGAATACATTTGTGTGCATGTAGAAATATACATACATGCTCTTCAAAAAGCTCGTAAAAAATGCATTCTATGAAAAACTACGCATGGATTTCAAAACACTATTTTGCACCGAAATCAGTCCACAGTGGAATTCTGTTTTCCATGAACTTTGGAAACTAAGCAACAGGCAAAGAGCTTGAAAGCACAGGCAGGCTCCACCCACGGCGTCCAGAGCCCGGGCAGTGACGAGCAGTGACAGTCATGGACAAGGACGACCATGAGCTGGGCTGAGCCTCACTGTCCCACGTGGACCGCCTCCCTCCCCGGACCGCCCTCGGGGACCGCCCATCACACGCCATCCTACAGGTGGAGAGACGGAGGTGCGGGACCAGGCAGGAGAGCAGACGCTCAGATCCGGGCCCGTGGGCCAGAACCTCTGGGGACGCCGAGGAGTCCAGAACCGTCCACAGCAGCCCGTGCCTACCTGTGCACCGCCCCACTCCGCAGGGTGACCCTGTCCGTGACCATCTGCAGCACATGGTCCCACTGAGCCAAGGCTCTTCTGGGGATGAGCAGGCGGGAGGCCGGGCTGATGAGGTCTCCGTTTGCAATCAAGCTGGGGAAGGACAGTGGCGGCCTCAGCACTTGAGCCTTTGCAGCCACAGGGCCGACCCACCACAGGACGCCTGCCACCCTGACTACGAGCGCCCCGACTCACAAGATGGTGCAGGGCTCCTGCCGCGGCTTCCGGAAGCGGGCCGACACGTTGATCCTGCTGTTGTGGATGACCGGGCCCACCTAGGGAGGAGCGGGACAAGCCTGGGCCGTGGGGAACGTCCGGCCTCCCAGGGGCCTGCCGAGTCTCCGTGCAGACCGCCCCCCCTTCCTCTGGGACATCACACCCTGTGGAAGCTCTCAAGGCCGGGAAAGCAAGCCCGGGGACGCGGCTCACAGCCCGGGGCTGAGGCGGGCACTGCGGCCCCACAGTGTTCCGGGACAGCGCTGTGAACTTGGTTTCCGGAAGCCCACGGGGGAGTAGCTCTGCAGATCACAGACTCTGACACGCCCTCCCACACACCACAGCTGCGGGGTGTGTGTGTGTGTGCACGTGTGTGTGTACACGGGCGTGACTCTCCCCTCCC